CGGTCATGGAGTACTGGGTAACCCACGTCTGTTTTCAGAACGATGGTTACTCCGTCTGCTGTCTTGGAGCAGCCCTTGGTAGTTCATTGGTCCAACGAATCCACGAAGTTCCTTCCTGTTGGTAGGAAGAGCGATAGCTGGATCGCATCATTACTTTTTAGTTAAAGGTTGGATTCCTTCTCGAGTAGTCAATTGTCTGATACTCAAGTTCTTCCTTTCGAGGAAGGCCTTGGTAGTGTTGATTTTAACCCCGACTTCTTGAAGTTTTGGAAAAGGTCATCTAACTATTCAACGCGATCCGCCAGATCGACGTCAGTTAGGATGAGTTGATCATCAATGTATGCACGGACATTTTCTAAGTCATGCATGCGTGTTTTCATCTTCCTTTGGAAGATGTCGGGACTATTACATAGGCCCATTGGCAACCTCTGGTACTCGTGCTTTCCCCTCGGGAGTGCAATGGTACAGTGTTGCTTCGAGTGAGGTGACAGCTCGATGTGATATGTGTCCATGTTCAGTCTAGACTAGTGCGTACTTGAATCCATCTAGTTCAAAGCATGTCCTGTATTTTTGGATAGGGTAAGGCTTCCGCTTGATCCTTTTGTTCGGTTCCGGAAATCAGAGTGAATCGTACAGATCCATCTTTCTTGGGATGATAAAAGTTGGTGTCCGCCCACTCGAAACGATTCACCTTCTTGAGTGCTCCTGCCTCGCAGAGACGTTCAACCTCCTCTTAAGAGTGTTGGTATGGACCCGTGGAGTAGGGTGAGCCCTAGTATAATAGGATTTAGCGTCGGGACGAAGTTCTACTTCGTAGTCGTCCATTCGCAACTCTCCCAAAGTATCCTCGACTGGGCCGAAGCACTTGGTTGAAAAGCATGAGGCAGTTCTTGCTCTTCCTTATTTAACTTGTTTCGACTCTGCACATCTGCCTTAAGTCCGTTTGTTCGTATGTTGTATCAAGAATCTTCTTGAGACTACTGCATTGTCGCTGACAGCTGCAGGGTCGGGAATGTAGAAGTTCTCCTTTCTATTGGCATCGCCATCTTTCGCAGGGAAAAATACGCTGTTCCACTCCATTGACATGGTAGTGAAATCAAACTTGATTCTTAGGTCGAAGAGAGTGTCTTGACCTATGATCATGTCTTGCGCCCCAAGTTCTTGGTGACGTGTAAATTCCATTCGATAATTCTATTATCGTGGAACTCAGGATCACGAGTGTGCCCTTACACTTCGTGCGGGGTTTCAATTCCTTCATAGAAGCAGTCCGTAATGTTTGGACGCCCCCATGATTCTTCATGAGTAAACTCTTAGCATGAGTTTGAGTAATTAAAGTTCCGGATGCTCCTGTATCCAGTAGGCAACGAGAGTGTAACGGGTTTTTGTTTCCCTTCTCTCGTCTGTTAAATCTAACATAGACGATAGTTCGAGGTCCTTGTCTTGCGACGTTGATGAGTGATTGGCCATGGACGAAGTAACGATGCTGAAAGATCGTCATGTCTAGTTGAGTAGTTGCTAGGCAATTATCTATTTGCCGTAGACTTCATTAGTTGCAAAACAATCTTGTTTACTATTTAGTGAGATATCTTTATCACTTAGGTATGAAAAATCGGAACAGGTTCCGTAGTCATTATCCTGGCCTAATCCTCAAACGGAGATCTCTCCTCCGAAATGATTGAAGTCGAATTCGGCAAGCCCTTGTCAACTGGCAGCCATTTTTTTGTCCATCATGTTGATGGATCCAACAGAGGAGTCGTCTCGTTGTCGGAGTTGTCGACTTGCGCTTGGCAACATGTTGCATTCGCTTTTCTTCTTGCGATCAGCCTTGACCGCAGCGTTGGAAACTTTCTTCATGAGGACAGAGAGTTCCTTCTTGGTGTAGGTTTGGCGTCGTCGGACTTGCGTTTCCAAGTCTTGTTCTTGTTGTACGCTGGCTTGTTATCGTTGTCAGACGAGGACTGAGACTTGCCTTGAGCTTCTTCAGAGTCATGCAGTCAGCAGTGTGTGAGTGCTGGACTCGTGGTAGTCGCACCATTTCTCTCGTTCTTGGAAGTGGTCGTTGTTGCGAGTAGACTTGTTCTTCTTCTGTTGTTCTTCTTCGAGGGCTTGCTTGCGTCACCGCCCTTGTCAAGTCTTCGGAGAGATTCCATGCGTTCGCAGAATCCAATGTTTTCTCCGATAGGAGCTGAGAAAGGATCGAAGTCTGTTCGTCCATCTTCTTCATCCACGAGCGTGGAATTCCATGACACACATGTCAATGACTCGTCATGGTTCAACGTTTGGTTGGGTCCAAAATGGGTAGACGAGGAAGTTCATCGGCGTTCATCCGACTGAGGTTGTTGACATAAGCCCGAGTAGACATTCAGCAGGCTTACGCATCTGTCGGCGCATGAAGCGTTTCTGCTTTTCAAAGCCTTGTAGGGCAGACCGCTTCGACAGGCATTTATGCAAACGTAATGTCAGATCGTCCAAAGCAGGCTGAGCTGCTCCGTTCCAGGCAGCCTGGAACGAGCTTGGAAAGCGGTTCGTCTTCGCCGCCACGTACGTCGCGTGGAGAATCCGTTGACTGCAATCTGGCGCAAAGCATTCCAATGTATTCACGATGGCCTGCACAGCTAGATTCGTAACTGCTCTTGGCAGAGCTAGAAGTCATTCCTTGAGGAGGTTATGTTTCGTAGGCGTAGCAATGGCGCCCACGAAGACCTTCTCCATACGTCAGCCCACTTGATGGTCTGACGTGGAGTCTCAGATCCATTGATGATTTGACCTTGAAGGTGTACTTGGCGCTGTTAGCATCTGCTGAACATGCGAAGTTTGTAGGTGGTAGAGCGAGAATCATCGATTTCGCATTCATCGTCGAGGTCGATGAGAGGAAGGATTGGTTTGTCGCGCAGCTTAGACTCGAAGCTGGTGTATGCGTCTTTGGCAATCTTCATGGTGAGGAATAGGTTGAGGGTAGCTGAAAGCTATTGTGTTTGTTAACAAAATGCACTACGCTAAAAGCTAGTGTAAAGATCTTTCGAGTGTTTTGAGTTTGAGAGAATGAAAGTTATGAGAGGATTAGAAAGCCATGAAAACTAATCAACGAGAGAGATCCACAATCAAAGGATCGTAGATCTGAACTCCCGCGGGAGACTGTAGAGTGTGATAGAGTAGGTTGCGGTAGCAATCCTACTCACTCCATGATCCAAAAACGGAACGCGTGGAAGATTCGTCTAGCATTTATCTAGTAGCTTGGAAGTACTCCACGCTGGCTAAATATCTAGAGCGATGTTTCATCATCAACCTAGTATGACTAGAGCGGTCATTGAGAACCCTGTCTCAATGACTATTCACGAGAGACTCAGTCATGAGTCGAACTCAAACCCTATCTAGGATCGAGTCGCGAATAAGGCTAAGAGCCGTGTATTGCAGTCGATCTCGGTGTCTTCGTCATTGTCGACGGGAGGAAGAATGGGTTTGTCACGCAACTGTTTCTCGAAGTTGCTGAACGCATGCTTTCCTTGAGCCATCTTCATGGTGAAGGAATAGGTTGAGGGTAGCTGAAAGCTATTGTGTTTGTTAACAAAATGCACTACGCTAAATGCTAGTGTTAAGATCTTTCGAGTGTTTTGAGTTTGAGAGAATGAAAGTTATGAGAGAGATTAGAAAGCTATGAAAACTAATCAACGAGAGAGATCATCATCAAGGGATCGTAGATCTGGTCTCCCGCGGGAGACTATAAGTGTGATAGAGTAGGTTGCGGTAGTAATCCTACGTGTCTCCACGATCCTAAAACGGAAGGCGTGGAAGATTTTTCTAGCATGGATCTAGTAGCGTGGAAGTACTCCACGTTGGCTAAATGTCTAGAGCGATGTTTCATCATCAACCTAGTATGACTAGAGCGGTCATTGAGAACCCTGTCTCAAATGACTATTCACGAGAGACTCAGTCATGAGTCGAACTCAAACCCAATCTAGTGAATAAGGCTAAGAGCCGTGTATTGCATATGGTTGCCGACCTCCGCAAGCAACAAGCAGGGTTTACTGACACCTACAACCACTAAGTAGTTGAAAAAATCTACAACATGGACAACATGATACGAAGACTTCACAACCACCTCCTTCCCCCCAAATCAGATGCCAAAACGCCCTCCTCCAAAACCATCATCAAGTTCTATATCAGCAGCAAAGGTCTCAACAGCCAAATGCCAGCAGCCGATGTAACTGTCCGTTTCTTCACTGACAATTACATTGCCGGTTTTGAATTAGACAAGGAAAGCGACTTCTGGAAGAATGATTTTGATGCCACTGAAAAGAAGCGCTTACGCAACCTCTTTGCCACCATCAAACGTGCTGTTAGAATAGTCCTATTGCACACAGATTCCTTTCCTCCTCCGAGTCCCTCATGGAAGGAAGTGCTCCGGATGGTTGCAACAGCAGCAGAGGAACGCATGCGAAGCAACCTTGACTTTGAAAAGAACAAAACCATCACCCTTTACAGGCCGACGAAACACCCCTCAATCAAGAAATTGGAGGAAACATTGAGACTGCCAGATAATATTCCAGAGGAACTCCGCAAGTTTTTCAAAAGCGATTGACTAGCCAGTAACAAAGACTAGTCATCTCCTCTATGGCACTGCTGTGTCTCTCCGCCGCACCCTCTCCTCCGACCCGTCTCGTGGCTTCAAACCGCGTCAGTCAACAATCAATCAGCTTAGCCGAATATCTACATGTATAGCGTTAGAGTTAGATCTTTAGTGAAATGGTTCGCGCTTCATCTTAGATAACCCTATCCTTAAAGGGGGGCCGAAAGTGAGATCAGCCATTATTGCCTCACCTCGGTCCACGGTCCACTATACTCTTTTTTCTATAGTAAATTGTTTAAGGAGTTAATGGAGGTGGACCGACTTTATTTTAAGATTCTCCCTCAGATTTAAAGGACATGAAATAGAATTAACGGCTGCCCCCTTTTCAGTACAGCTAAGCCTCGCGGCGACTGAGCGTCTACAAACAACAGCACAACAACAACAACAGCAAAACAACAACCATCATGTCTTTTTCATCTGTTTGGGTTCAGCTCTATTACGAGGGAAAGAAGGAGGCGGTGGGCGAACCTTTCCCAGCCCATGAAGCTGATCTGAAGCCTGGTCGAGAATGGAATGTTGCCGAATTGAAAGCAGCGGCGATGCCGGGGCTGGACCCTCCATCGTTGGCCATGGTCAAGGTGTACCCCCCTGGAACCACATCATTCACTAAAGTCAATTCGATTCGGCCTGGAAGGAAATTGGCAAATTTGATTGAGGAATTTGAGAAGGAAAAGACTCCACCCACATCCGATGATCATCCCTTTATTGTGGTGGCACCAGCAAATGGTAAGAAGAATTATAGATTTTGTTCGTTTGTTTGTGGTTGAATTTATTCACCTTCACTAACATCAATTGGTTTGCCTTATTTTCACCATCCTCATTACCATCCACAACCTGACTTCTTTTCCAGGTCTGGGAAGAAACGACGATACATTGGAGCGAATCGAGCGCAAGCTGGATGACATGGCCACTGTCGCCATGGGAATGTCAGAGGCCACCCAAAATTTCACAAGAGAGCTACTTGGTGCCAAGGGCATCGTATTCAAGACACTTCCCGTCTGTACAGAAGTCCTTGACGTCACATTTTCGAACCGGATCTACAATTGGGGAGAAAAGGAAGACGAAAAAGACGGCCAACCGGGCTGCAAATCGATGCTCGAACATGAACTTTTACCCTTGTCATTGGCTGGGAGAACGCTAGGCATTTTCGATGTTCGTGGCTTGGCTCTTCCGGAGATTCACGAGGGGAAGCGTAAATCAAACGGATTCTCTGATCTTGCAATCGGAGATTTGGAATCTCTGTCGTTGCCAGATACCCGTGACCTGACATTCGGTCTTTCGGCAGCCTTGATTGAGCTGAAAACAGGCAAAGCTGCCCTGAAGCAAGGCCAGCTTCTGCTGCAACTGGTCTCTTTCTCCACGATTTCCAATACACAAAAAGGTGTCGTCGTCTTGGGCACGGACTGCGCGACAAAATGGAGGCTTGTCTATTTTACAAAGTCCAATGAGATCACGATGCAGCAATACACATGTGGCAAGAAGTGCCTTGACGATTTGTCGTTGTTTATTCAAGGCAGTACAGAAAAAGGAGTAGCTCTAGCTCCTAGCCCACTTCCTACTGTCACGGAAACGGAATTCCTAGAGGGTGCTGAAGATTCCGCCAACACTTCTGCCTACCTTGATGCTGTCGCACACCATCTAGCGGGTCTGTTTCCTTCGGAACGCGAGGCCTTGACACCAACGGTGGATGAGAATCGGAACCCTCCGCCGATGATCTACTTGTGAAACACGGATGTTTTTGCTGTGGTGGACCCAACGTGTACGATCAAATGGGCACTCTCGAAAATTCGGAAACCTCGACCCAACTCCTAACCCTTGCGAAGATTCGCAAACCCTAACCTGAAGATTCGCAAACCCGCACATCACATCGGTTCAAACGTCTTTTAAGGTCTGGCGGTCGCCACGCTTGGTTCTTTCTTCAAATTGTGCCATTTAGTGGGGATAACGACCAATCTGACACAAATGCGCTCAAAACAAGCCATAGAATTGTCATTTTTGCCCTACCACGGCCAGACCTTATAAGACAAATTCATCGATTTTGAACCGATGTGACATTGGGATTAGAGGTCTCAAAGAAGGTGCCCTTAGTATTATAGGGCACTTGGATTGGATTAGACCTCAATTCCCCTTCTCCTTTCATAATTCTGGTTAGCCTCCACGGCGTTTGAGTGGACCCAACCTATAACCTTCCAAACTAGTAGCCTCCGCGGCGTTTGAGCCGACCACCATGACGAAAACTCGGCAAGAATCTCCCAGATCCCGCTGGCAGTTTACTTGGTATAACTTTCCAGTCAACTATAGCGAAGTTCTGCTAGACCTATACAGTAAAGGTATAATTAAATATGGAGTATGTCAAATCGAAATCTGCCCTGAAACTGATCGAGAGCACCTTCAAGGTTTTGTACTCTTCACCCAGCAATATCGCTTAGCCGTAGCAAAAAGCGAATTTTCCAACAACAGCATTCACCTTACCCCCGTACAAGGCAAACCAGAGGACCTATCAAAAAGTATAAACTATTGCAAGAAGGAACAAACTCGAAAGGAAGGATGTAACCCATTCGAAATAGATAATAGTGGTCAAAGCCCTGGAAAAAGAACTGACTTTGAATCTTTCAAAAGGGATGTAGCATCAGGCATGCCATGGAGTGAGCTGCAAGACAAACATGACAGCCTTACAAGTGGAAACCGGACTTGGTGCTATGACTACTTTGGTCGTCATCGCCCTAAAGCTCCACCTAACACTAATTTTGAACCCCGAGATTGGCATCAATATGTCTATGATGCAATCAACCAGCCATCCTTCAGAAAAATTCACTTCATCGTAGACGAACTAGGAGGTGCGGGAAAGAGCTGGCTACAGTATGTGAGTACCTAAAAGCAACTAGAAAGGACCTCCAATTGTTAAAACCTGCAAAACTCGACGCTATGCAGTACCTCCTTTCCGAAGATGCAAAAATCTTCTTAATCGATTGCCCCCGCTCCCGCAAAGACATCCATATCCCCTACGATCTCTTGGAAGGCATCAAAGATGGAGATATCCTTAGCACGAAATACGTACCAATCAACAAATATATCCATCGTCCCAACACAGTAGTTGTTTTCATGAACGAATGCCCAGACTCTTCCAAACTATCTCTGGATAGATTTGTCGCCTGGTTGCGCAGAAAGATAGGCTGGGCACATGCCACTCCAGATGAAGAAGGCACATGGACAATGCCCCCTCCAGAAGGTGACACCGAAAGCAAGACGATTCAGCGCATAAATCAATCTCAGGCAAAAGAATCCCGGAAATACAAAAGTGAAGTCATACAAGAAGCACACCGCAAACTACAGTACCAACTAGCACTGTAAAAGGTGGAAGACCTAGACCGCAGGAACAACGCAGGTGGAATTCCCCATGACAATTGCACTACGCTAACGTCCACGAAGATGAGGACCTCATGAAGTGCTTCCAGGACTCTGGGTTCCGCTCCATCACAGAGATGACCAAGGACCACCAGTACACTGTCCCCAAGCACGGTGGTCAAGACGTCTGTATGGCCTGGGCTCTCAAAAGCAGCTGCACTTCTGGATGCAAGCGCGCTGCCACCCATAATGCACTACGCTAAAAGCTAGTGTTAAGATCTTTCGAGTGTCTTGAGTTTGAGAGAATGTAAGTTATGAGAGAGATTAGAATGCAAGGAAGCTATGAAAAACTAATCAACGAGAGAGCTTCGTCGTGATGCTCATTGAGCAGGTCTCCCGCGGGAGGCCTGGAAGTGTGATAGCGTAGATTGTAGCAGAGAATACTCCACGATCCAATTCCGGAACGCGTGGAAACTTCAGCTAGTATCTGTCTAGTGGCGTGGAAGCTCTCTGTGTCAGCTAAATATCTAGAGTGATGTTTCATCGACAACCTAGTATGACGAGCAGTCATGAGAACCCTGTCTCAATGGCTATTCAAGAAAGACTCAGTCTTGAGTGAACTCAAACCCTATCTAGGATCGAGTCGTGAATAAGGCAAAGAGCCGTGTATTGCATTCGCGCCCTGACAAGGGTCACAGAAGGCACGACATCAGTCGGACAAGGAGAACATATGAATTAAAGTGCGGGGCACTCTCCGGAGATTGGATGTAGACATGTGCGTCGCACGATGGCAATCCTACAAGGGGATCAGGCCTTGTATGGGTGTGAATACCTTTATGTTCCAAGTCTGGTAGACTGTGCTGCCATTAGCGGTAGCATGTCGGAGCCGTACAGTGCCATTGCCATTGACTCGGTCTATATTGTAAGGACCTTTGTACGTTTGCTGACCGTACTTGCGGTGCTGATACTGGTGAATCATCACAGTATCGTTGACACTGTATTGATGAGGGACACGTGTCGCATTTTCCCTATCATTTTGTTGTTGGATAAGTCGTTGGCGACGTTCCTTAATGTATTTCCAGTTTGCTTCGAAACGGACGTTGTGAATCACATCACGATTGAATACAAGCTGCGCAGGCGTTGCGCGCAAGGTGGTGTGAATGGTGGCATTCATTGCGAACCGAACCGCCGTGAGGACTCCATCCCAGGATCCAACGAATGGTCTGATGAGCAAGCTCGACCATCGAGTTGGCTTGAGGGTTACGTGTGGTGATGAACGTGTGGCGAAGTCCATATTCATCCCGGAGAGTCTTCTCGACTTCTGCACGGAACTCACGTCCTCTATCCATGATAACCTCAGCAAGCCATGGATACCGAGTAAGCCACGTCTGTTCTAGAACGATGGCTGTAGAACGCGATAGGCTTTCCCTTCTGGGAAATCACTGCACCCAGTTGTGTATCACTTGCATCCGTGTGGATAACGAATGTATCGTTGAAGTCAGGGTAAGCGAGCAAGGTTTCTTTGCTGATGATTTCTTCATCTGGCGATAATAGTTCACTAGTCCAATGAATCTACAGAGTTCCTTCCTATTCGTTAGAGGAGCGATATTCTGGATCGCATCTATTTTCTTGGTTACCGGTTGGATTCCAATAGCCTAAATACTCAAGTTCTCCTCTTGCGAAGAAGGACTTGGTAGCATAGATCTTAAGTCCGGCTTCTCGAAGCCTTCGGAGAAGTTCATCTAACTTTTCAACATGATCTGCTAGATCACCATTAGTTAGGATAAGTAGATCATTAATGTATGCACGGACGTATTCCAGGTCGTGCATGAGTGTTCCCATCTTCTCTTGGAAGATGTCGGGACTATTACATAGGCCCATTGGCAATCTCTGGTACTCGTACTTTCCCCATGGAAGAACGATAGTACAGAGTTATTGTTTCGAGTGAGGCGACAGCTCGATGTGATAGTATCCCATGTTCAAGTCGAGACTAGTAGCATACTTGAATCCATCTAGATTCAACAGCATGTCTTGTATCTTTGGGATTGGCATGATAGGGTTTAGCGTCAGGGAGAAGTTCTACTTCGTAGTCGTCCATCTGCCACTTTCCTAAAGTACCATCGAATAGGTCAGAGTACTTGGTCAATAAGGCATGGAGCTGTTCCTGCTCTTCCTTATTTAACTGATCTTGACTTTGGCATACCTGCCTTAAGTCAGCTTGTTCGTATTTCGAATCAAAAATCTTCTTGAGACGATCTGCACTATCATCGACAGCTGTAGGATCAGGAATGAAGAAGTTCTCTTCGTCATTGGTATCGCTATCTTTCATAGGCATAGATATGCCGTCCCACTCCACTGACATGGTAGTGAAATCGAACTTAAATCCTAGATAGGAGAGAATGTCTCGACCTATGATTATATCATACGCCACCAAGCTCTTGGTGACGTGTAAATCCCATTCGATAATTCTATCGTCATGGAACTCAGGAATCATGAATGCACCTTTACACTTCGTGCTGGTGTTTAGTTCTCCTGCAGGGGTAGTCCACATGGTTTGGACGCCCCCAAGATCCTTCATGCATAATTTCTTAGCATGAGTTTGAGCAATCAAAGTTCCGGATGCTCCTGTATCCAGTAAGCAGCGGAGTGTAACGGGTTTTGGTTTCCCTTTTTCTCGTCTGTTAAATCTAACATAGACGATAGGTTTGAGGTCTCTTGTCTTGCGACGTTTACGAGGTGGTTGGCCATGGACGAGGTTAACAATGCTGAATAGATCGTCAGAATCTAATTGAGCAGCTTCTAGGCAATCATCTAATTTGCCATATACTTCATCAGTTGCAAACAATTCTTGTTTACTAGTTAGTGAGATATCTTCATCACTTAGGTATGAGAAACCGGAACATGGTTCCGTGGAATCATCATCCTCGCCTAATCCTCAGACGGAGATTTCTCCATCCAATTGATTGAAATCGAAGTCGGCAAGAGCCTTGTCGACTGCGGCCATCTTCTTGTCCATCATGTTGAGGGATCCAACAGAGGAGTTGTCCTCGTCTTCGGAGCTATCCGACTTGTGCTTGGCGACATGGTTGCATTCGCCTTTCTTCTTGCGATCGGCCTTAACGGCAGCGTTGGAGACTTTCTTCGTAAGGACAGAAAGTTCCTTCTTGGTGTAAGACTTGCTGGCATCATCAGACTTACGTTTCCAAGTCTTGTTCTTGTTGTACGCTGGCTTTGCTATCGTTGCCAGACGAAGACTTAGACTTGAGTTTCTTGAGAGTCATGCAATCAGTGGTGTCGTGAGTGCTGGACTCGTGGTAGTCACACCACTTTCCTTCGCTCTTGGAGGAGTGGTTGTTGTTGCGGCTAGACTTGTACTTTTTGCTATTACTCTTCTTCGAAGAAGCTTGCTTGGCATCACTGCCTTTGTCAAAGTCTTCAGCGGATTCCATGCGCTCACAGAATCCAATGAGCGCTGTCATCTCGGCAGTGAAAGGATCGAAGTCGTGTTCGTCCATCTTGCGCATCCAGGAACGAGGAATGCCATGACAGATGATATCAATGACTTCGTCCTGGTTCAATTGTTGATTGGCAATGAAGGGGGGCAAACGAGGGAGTTCATCGGTATTCATCCGAGTGATATTGTTAATGTAGGCGCGAGTTGTCATATCGCTAGGCTTGCGCATCTTGCGACGCATGAAGCGCTTCTGTTGTTCGAGAGCCTTGTAAGGACAGGCTTATTCGATAACCGCGTTGATGCCAACGGTGATGTCGTCATCAGTTTGAATACGAGTGGCGTATGCTGCTTCGGTTTCCGCGACTGGATCGCGTGGTGATTCTCGCGACACAGCGATTTGTCGAAGGGCGTTGTGTCGCACGGCATGACTGCCTGCACATCCAGCCTCGTAGGCACTCTTTGCAGAGCTCGAACTCATCTCCTTGAGAAGACGATGTTTGTCATCGGCACCAGCGAGGTTGAGTCCGACGAAGCCCTTCTCCATATTCATTCGTGGCCCACTTGATGGTCTCACGTGGAGTGTTGGAGCCATTGATGATGGCTACCTTGAAGGTGTACGTGGCACTGTTCGCGTCTGTAGGAAAAGTACAAAGTTTGTAGGTGGTGGCACGAGAATCGTCGATCTCGATGTCTTCGTCATTGTCGACGAGAGGAAAAATGGGTTTGTCACGCAACTGTTTCTCGAAGTTGCTAAACGCATGCTTTCCTTGAGCAATCTTCATGGTGAAGGAATAGGTTGAGGGTAGCTGAAAGCTATTGTGTTTGTTAACAAAATGCACTACGCTAAATGCTAGTGTTAAGATCTTTCGAGTGTTTTGAGTTTGAGAGAATGTAAGTTATGAGAGAGATTAGAAAGCTTTGAAAAACTAATCAACGAGAGAGCTTCGTCGTGAAGCTCATTGAGCAGGTCTCCCGCGGGAGGCCTGGAAGTGTAATAACGTAGGTTGTAGTAGAGAACCTACGTACTCCACGATCCAATTCCGGAACGCGTGGAAACTTCAGCTAGTATCTGTCTAGTAGCGTGGAAGCTCTCCACGCCAGCTAAATATCTAGAGCGATGTTTCATTGACAACCTAGTGTGACTAGCAGTCATGAGAACCCTGTCTCAATGACTATTCGCGAAAGACTCAGTCTTGAGTGAACTCAAACCCTATATAGGATCGAGTCGCGAATAAGGCTAAGAGCCGTGTATTGCACAATCGTTTCGGCCTTGAAGGAGGAATAGAACATATCAACCAGCAACAGCTAGAATAATGAATCTCAGGAACCCTTTTGGTTGAAACCGTCCATTTGTGGACTATACTCACACCCGAAGATTACCTAATCCAAGAAGGAGAACTTCAAGATCATACAAAAGTTCAAAATGGCTAAGGGAATGGGTCAAAAGCGAACATATCTTAAAATATCTAATAATTGATCATCATGATCTATTTTACCGGTAAACATGTTGAAGCATAATCAAATTGCAACCGCGTCAGTTAACAGTTAAGAGAGCAAGCCGAACCCAGGATAATATACCGCCCACATTTCTCCGGCTAGTCCCTCAGAAACTACCCAGCCAAAGATACTGCCCCTGAAAATCTCTGCCCACGCGTTGGGACTCTGCAGGTCTTTTAGTCTTTTGCTCTTGTTTTGAGTGGAACTGCGGTACTGTACACTCCTACCTCATCAATAAGATAAGTCAATTTTTAGTCTAGTACTGGAGGTATCGTAACGGATTCAGCCACAGCAACACTGAGTTATTATCTTACAAGCAGCCCACTCTCAGTATCTTTCATATCTTATTGCCCCTAGCAGCTGTTGTTGCATACCCTACCGGTACTACTAACCATGCCCTCAGACAGTGAGGAGCCACCACCAAAGCTCAAGAAGGCAAAGGTGCAAAGCTAAATTGATGCAACCAAAGGTGTTGTGGTAGAGAGGCACCCTAAGATTCGGATATGGAGTACTGGGATGTAGATGGTGATGTGGAAGATAATGGGTACTAGCTGCATTCATTCCCCACATAGTATTAGTATTAGCTTAGGGATTGAGACCTCAGTAGTCGTAGCTTATCTTCCTGGTTCGGGAAATCTGAGTGTCCGGGTTATCTAAACATTTCTGAAAAGTCGAGTACTCGGTATCTTAATTAAACCCACTTATCTTAAGTGTGAGTGAGGAGTGTATCTGCAACCGTAGTATTTGGTAGAGGAAGGTTCAGCTTGCAGATCGAGGCCACCGGTTTTCCGAATGATATTATTATCCTACCGTAAACCGGTGGCAAGCCAGGACAGGCAAGCCTCGCCCCCTACAAGTACATGAACGCGTATCCATCAGCCATCAGCGACACTATAGTACTCGTAGAAAAGTGGGGCGACAAGCGTCGAGACGGTCAAGAATCAATAAGCAGCAAGGGGTCGCGCCTGGTCACAGCAGGTGGGAAGGCGGGACAGCCAACTGGTATTTCTTACTGCACTACTGAGTAGTGAACGTTGCAGTAGGGCTTGCTTGATGCGTTCAAGTCTGAGGTTATGTTCTTGCTGTGCTTCAGAACCTAACCTACTAGCTAGCTGTTGATTGCATATAGGTGTTTGGTTTCAGTTGCGTGGCGGTCCAGCCTAGCTCCCTGGCTGGCCGTGATTTAGCGTATTATGGTCGTAGCTTGTCAAGTAAGTGAAGTAGCCCCATGGTGCAAAAGAGAGATACTCTCTGGAAACATTGGAGCAACTGCGTCTAGGCTGCACCAGAGGACGTTTCGTCCTGAGCAACGCCCCCGTTCTTGTGTTGTCGAGTTTCAACATTGGTTGCTGCTTCTCCAACTGGTGTGTCCCTTTGTACATTCTCCTCTGCCTGGTACCTGGGAATGCACCTAACACTCACAAACGAGGCCGTCCCCACCGCCACACAAACAATAAAGACACGGTACATGAAACGAGGACCGCAGTGTTCTTGCAGCCATCCCCCCGAGATCAACCCCAAGACACTGGCCAATCCCCGCACAAAGTTCACAATTCCTTGCCCACTTGCTTCACTTCCCCGCGGGACGTGCTGATTGACAAACTCCACGGCAGAAGCTTGAGCGCCCGCGTATGTGAATCCATGGAGCGGCTCTACCAAGAACACTAGCCAGGAATGTCCTTGAGGGATCAGTGTATAGCCAATCACCCGAATGAGATAGGCCACGTTTGCCATGACAAGGAAAAGCCCAACACCGTGTCTTTTCAGTAAGACGGGTGCCAAGGAAAAGACGGGGATTTCGAAAACGACTGTCAAAGCGACCGTGATACCTTCGAGGGTATGACTGGCTCCCAAGAATTCAAAGAATAAAAAGACCAGATTCTCCACCACCGAGAATCCCGTGTTCAAGACGAAGTAGCAAAACAGAAAGAATGTTCCATATACCGATCCAAAGATAATGCCCATCAAAGCCAACGTGGAAGGAGTATCTTCTTTTTGATCCGTAGTGTTGTCGTTTGGTTGTTGATGATGATTTTGATGTCCGTTAGTTGTTGCAGCTTCCAACAGCGCGGTTGCTTCACTCGGATGATTGTTGCTTTCGGAATCGTTCTTCACTGCGGCTGCTGCCGCTGCAGAAGAAGAAGAGAACAACATGATTGACACGATACTGTAAAGGGCCGCAGCCCAGGCACAGGGAAAGTAAATGAACATGCCGAATTTGTCCAAGAGAACCCCGAAGAGCAGATTGGCCACACCCCAGCTAACGGCTCCATAGAGTCGCTCTGCGCCGTAATCGGAAGATGAGCTTCCCTCCAACCGGTCGAGATAATCGACCGTCATGCCATCCAAAATGGGAAACAGGCTGGCAAAGGCTGTGGCATAACCGCATTGTGCCAAAATGTGAAAGGGCAGTGAATGAAATACTGGTAACGGTACCACGTAATGCAGCCCATGAAGTGAAAAGGATAATGTGCCGATCGTTACTGTAGCCATCAAAATTTGAGCTCGTCCTTTGTGGGGGTATCGCTTTTCCCGCTGATCCGCCCAATGACCAAACCAAGGTGCTAACAGACTCAGAATGGCATATTGACAAGCAAATGTAGTCCCAATCCAAGAATCTGAGAGCTCGGCTTCTTCTTTGAGAAAAGGAGCGAGGAAACGTCCTCCCGAAACGCTCATCCAACTGAATAAGCTCAGGTACAGGATACGGGGTCGGTAGGTGGATGAAGGGGTCGTCATGGTTTGCTACTTTGCTAGCTACTACAGGTACTAGTCTAGTACATGTACTTCTTGACAGGAGGGTCGTCATTGTGAGGGTTTGGCAATTGAGGTGTGCGCCCGCAGCGGGTTCCGGTTGCTTGGGTTCGCTTTTGACGAGTCCTCAGTCCCTTCAGGGTATTTTCTTTTAAACCATGAAAGCCGTTCGCATCGCGGTGGCCCCTCTCCAAGAGTGGGCCAAGTTCGAGGAGATCAAAAGGTGCCACATTTTGGACCCAAACACGCACTGTCCAAGATGCAATGTACCGGTACACTGTACCGGTACCAGTATGTACCCCTACAGCTCATCCACAGCCACTCGATCGATCGAGGCACCACGAAGACACCGTTCGACTGTTTCAAAGGTATTCAAGGACAGTCGAGGCCAAGTCATCCTCGTCTACAATGGACAGGAACCTTCCCAACGTGTCATGGCTGCTTCAAGAGGATGTTCCAAATGCTGCACTTTTTCCACCTCTAGCTAGGGCGTACCCAGAAAACCATCTTGTCGGAACAAACGAGTTTCAAGCATAGCCGCGCGAAGAAACAGAGAAGGAAGGCAAACATGAATCCTTGGTGACAGACTAGTTAGAGGATAGAGAGGATAAAATAAAGCGTCGTGTGTTTTGTGTGGTTTAGTAATGTAAAGGGTGAAAAGGAACCGTAAATTTAACGGGAAGACAGGGGATGGGTGCGGGGATTAGGCAAAGCACTCGTCGTCTTTGTGATGTTTGGTAGACAAGATATTCCATGCAACAATCGTAATCAGCACGCATCGGACAGCCCAGTAAAGAACATTGATCCGAACCATGTTGCTCTGAAAGATGGCTCGATCCCACCACCAAGCCGACACAGCGAATCCTAGCAATTGCAACACTTCTCCACCAGCAATAGAAAACGCGCCACCGATGTCCGTGACAGCACAGTGCGGATTGAATAGCTGCAAAATGGAAACGTTAAGAAATCCAGCGCTGACCGTCAGTGGGAACATGAGGGCAAAGAACATGCCACATTTGTGAACAAAGAGGTCGCGCTTCGAACCGGCCACCGCATAAATGGCAATACCCATGTTCAGAAGGCTACCATTGCCACTAATGAGTAGCACCCAGTCGGCAACGCCTATCTGAATGATTCCGTGTTCCGGGTGGGCAGTGTACTTGGTAACGGCCTTCCCGACAACCATCGCAATACCAGTACAGACCGTTCCTATCCAAAAAAGGGACGCCACCCGACCAATGAATCGATGGGCTGCCTTGAGCATTCGAATCTGATTTGTAGTGTGGAAGCGCACAGCTGAAATCACTTGAAAAGTGGCGAGAGTTACAAGAAGCAAGGCTGCAAAGGCATGAATGTTTAAGACCATGTTCAGCTTTGGGGGCCGTTCCAGTGGTGCTCGGATGCCCAGAGCGTAGAGCACGGGCGTTTTGCTCCACCCAAATCCACACAAGAAGGTAACCAACGATAATCCATCCATAGCCACGGTGCAAAACATCATTGGCAGGGCAGCATAGCCAAAGAAACGACCATTTGTTGTGGTGAAGGACCGTTTTGGTGCTTCTGATGTGGTAGGAACCTCCTCGCGTCCCTGCTCTTGGTCGGTAAAGGAGTAATCCGTGATGGATGCCGAGTCTTCGTCATCCATAAGTGCTTTGTATTCGAGTTTCATTTTGAGTTTGTCGATGTGAAATTATGTGTTATGTGGTTTGTTTGGAGCCGACAGCAGCGGATGCAAAAAGGCAATGCGCTACTGCACCGCGGCGCGAATCTTCAATCTGGCTGGGAGGACCAAAAAGGATGTACCAGGTATGCTCGATCCTGTTGAAGAAGCTGGCTCTTTATTTTTTGCTTTTCAAAGGAAGGGTCCTTTAAGTCTTTCTGACCTCATGGGCCGTGACTTTCTATCTATTAATATTTCTTGGATCGGAAGAGCCAAACAGTGTAGAGACTTCATGGAGCTCTTCATGGACTACAGTCGTACGGTGGTACTTCTCCAGTTATGCTAGATGGATACGACCGTACCAACGCCCCCTCGAGCCCTCGAGCGAAAGGCTGACGGCCCGGGCCGAGCCAAATCAGCATCACATGAACAAGTCATACATACATTCCCAAGCACCAGAACAGACCTGCATGCATGATTATGAATGCCACCGGCAAGTTGCATCTGCTCAGGTTGACTGAAGCAAACTTTGACCAAGACATTGGAGTGGTACCTGGTCGGCAGTGGTGAAAGCGGCAACTGTTTTGCGAAACAGTGGCTGGTTGGCAAGCACTGGTGAGCATGGGATGGCATTGATTTTCTCCACCCCCGGTAGCTCTAGCTCTAACGAAGTTGCCTTTTTCGCCCCAAAGACCTGCGCAACTTGCAAGCAATACCGTAGCAAAGAAAGCCAGCATTGAACTTGGAGCGAAAGCTATATGAATTATGATTCCATTGGGGGGGGGGGGCAAGACCTACCGGTAGACCCGATCCTACACCCAGGAGCCCATAACCAGGCACCACCTGAACGGCCTAACTAAAATAGCGAGACACCTTAAAAGAGCAAGTAAGAGCCTGGTCCAAACACAAGGTCCAGACATGCACCGGGACAATGGACCTACATCGGGGCCAGCAGCTCATCCCATTACCCAAACCAACATACCGTATGGGAGTAGAGTCAGAGTCATTCGAGTCTCCACGACCTAACACGAAGTCAATCTTGTTCGATTCATGCGCCTACGTAGAGTACCTACAGGACGGCAATACTTGTGTGACAAAACAGGAAGGCTCCAATCTACACATACAGCTAGCACCACGTATCACAGACGGGCCTCCAGCAGCACTGCCAAGCAAGCAGAAGCAAAGCAAGGAGGCTACGTAGTACTCCCGGCTGTGGTGCAACTACTACAGGTAGTACATGTGGCTCGAGCTGGGAGACTTTGCTTGGTGATTCGATTCGATTCGATTGATCATGCGATTGGTCATCGAATGATTCGATAGATCATTCTCTTTCCTCACCACACATACATGTCACGAGAACGTTTAGGATTGCGGTACTAGTACCGGTACCGTGGTAAAGATTTACGTGAAAGTCACGAAGCTTTAACAACAGACACCACAGGACTGAATTATAGCCATTTAGTGTTTCGGATTTAATATCCTTGTCTAATCTATAGTCTTTGTGTCTCTTTGGGATTAGAGTAGTAGCACGTACTGTCAAATAAAGTACTATTGATGTACTAGTCGTAGACAACACGAATGCTCCCAATAACTGTGGTCACAGCAGAGCACCACTCTTTAAGTCTGAGGAAGGAAGGGGGGGAGCTGCCAGTGATTGAGCTGGCAAACACCGGTAAACACCAAAACATTTTTGTGGTGGCAGGCTTCCCCAACAGAGAGGTCCAACAGCGATTCACACATCGATCGAGAGAGCCCATTTTACTCGCTCACCAACAATAGGCTATGAAAGGCCCAACCCTCCAACGTAAGCACTCTCAATTTTTATTAGCTACTACTACTACTTCGAGTAACCAATCACCCTACCATGGCACCAAGGCACGCAGAGATGATGGACAGACACAGCATTCGAGATGGCTCCACTACATTATTTGAAGAGTCTTTCGGAGTAGATGAAGCCTTTGATCCCTTTGATACGACCGACCACGAGGAGGAGGATTTTGGAGAGTCCTTTGCGAACGATTTTGACGATGTGGAATTTCCCGAAAAGGCCGATGCGGAGCCGTCTCGAAAATCCTCCAAGACACCTCGCTCTCGCTCTCGAAGACCGAGCAGTCGAAGAACCATGGAAGAGGGCAGTCGACGCGACAGTGCTCGTCGTTTGGGCGACAGCAGTCATCGACTGGGCGACAGTAGTCGTCGGCTTGGAGAAAGCGGCCGCCGCGACAGCTCGAGGCGTTTGGGAGAAAGTACCCGCCGAGACAGCTCGAGACGATTGGGAGACAGTTCGAGCCGATTGGATGAAAGTACCCACAAACAACAACCACTGGATGGGAGTCTGAGCCGCATTCCCGATGGACCCCGAAGAAGAGCACGAAATGGCCAGAATTCTCAACAGGCGCGCGCCACAAAACCGACCAGAGGACCTTCGTTTCCCAAGAACACCGCTCGACGATGCAGCAGCAGCACAGCCCTGGAAAAACAATCCTCTGGGCGAACAATGGATGGCAGCTCTCGACGGCGAGGATCCACCACTACCACAGAACTCTCTCCTCGCGGAGAACGAGGTCTCAGATCCAAAAACCGTCGTTCGATTACATTGGACAACTCGGATTGTCCAATATCTCCAGCCACTGGTGGCACAAGCAGCACTCGACGATCTTCCGTTACCAGTGCTAGTAGCAGACAACTCTCCCCCAAAGACCGAATGTCATCGCGTCGTGCCACCCTGGGCAACTCGGATGCCCGGCTGCGCATCCGCAAAGCAGCCGCACTGCAACGAGAACGAGAACAGAGAGAACAAGAAGAAGCCAAAATGAAGGCGCAAAAGGCCAAATTGGAAAAGCAAAAACAAAAAACAAACGATTTATTAGGTCGCAAATTGGCCAATTTGGATGCCATGGGCAGCGCTCATGGAGCTGATCATGAACCACTCAATGGAGATGGCAAGTCCGTGTCTTCCAAGAACAATCGAGCCGAACTGAACTCCAGTATGCATTCCGCCGGGACTCGTGGTGGTACGGCCGAGCAACGACGGCGCCACCGACGCACGCATTTATCACACAATATACTGGTGCGAAACATGAATCAGCTCGCTGCATCCTCCATGCATCACGACAGTAGCGAGTTTGGAGGAGATGAGACGGAACACACATTGGATGAAATTACAGAAGAAACAGAAGAAATGTCCGTCTCGTCTGCGGAGCTTGCTGCGAAGAAAGCCGCATGGCAACGACGAAGGGAACGACAGCATCGAGGTTAAACGATTCAGCTGTCTTTCATACGAACGCTAATGAACCGATGCACGAGCCGCCAAGATCACTTTCTTCCTTCCTCCGACCCTTATATTCTTATATTCACCCCTCCAAACACAATCAGACTTCCTTTCGGATGGATATTGCAGCAAGTTCTTTTAATTACAATAATTATCATGCCTTTTTAAAAAACAAATTCTATCAAAACGTTTGAGAAGGTTGAATGCATTGGCATTTATTTCATCATCAAGCCCAAAAGTCAAACAAACTCGCACGTTGTGGTGCATTTATTCCAAATTTCTAGGCCTGCTGGGCCCATGTGCAGCCTTTAGAAACGCAGGGGCTCGTATTCCCGATATCGAGGAGAAACAAAGAAGCAACTCTGCTATTTTTGATCCTTCCTTTGTTGTGGCTGGGTGCAGAATGAGAATCCAACAGACGGAACATGCTTGGCGTCTTTATGGCCCGACGACTATCATGCTGGCTGGCTAGTCCAATTCTTTGGCGCCCTCAAACTACCGCGTTTCACAATGGATCCCACAGTGGTTGGACTCCCTCCCCTGCCTTCCTCTCAGATGAGGCATTTGCTCGACACGGACGTGGGCGCCCAGAAACATCCCTCATCATAAAGAAGTCGTACTACTTTAGGAAAGGGTTCCAACTCGAGAGAACCTCTTCTTGGGAGACCAGACATGACGATGCCCTTCAAATACCGTAGCAACATCCAGCAGCAACATCTTCCCTTGGGCAGTCGTCGCAGCGTCGTGAGAAACAAGTGTGCTGCTGGTGGCTGACCATAAGGTACTATTGTTTACTAATGTATGATACCTGGCTGAACCCAGCACAACTGATAGGATACATGAGCTCAACTATAAACACAGAGAGACAAAATTCTCAATAGCTAAGCACCTTGTTCTTGCAAATCGCCGCGTGCTTGCTTTGATGCTCGACTTTTCTTCTTGCTCTGGTGGGAGGCAGTTGATGCCGTGAGGAGGGAGTACAAACGATGAAGACAATCCACGGCAACAAGCAACGCACTCCATTGCGAATCATTCAGATGCACTTTGACGAGATCTTTGAAACGCTGGTGCAAGTGGCCAACAGAACGTCGACCCCAACGAGATTCGATTCGATTCTCGATTTGAATAGATCCTTCGTCATTCCCATTCATTGGAAATCGGCTTTGCCTACTAGCTAGATAAGCCTGGAATGGTCTGGCTTCCACAAAGGCTGGTGTTGTCCCGATGTTTCAGCAAGAGCCAGGGTTCCGGTGTTGGCCCAACATATCTCCTCGTCGTGCACGCGCTCATCGTGGTCTCCAAATCGAAACTTGAATACATCAATAATGCTGAAGCTTAAGATACACTCAACAAGGCCTCAGGCTAAAGTGGCCGGAAGTTTGTCAATTGAGACAAGGAACGACTGCTTTTGGGCAATGGACGTGCCGTCTGGTACCGATTGATACAGTAACATTCAAACTTGCACAAAGCTTCAATAATTGAGCTTGCTTCGCTTTGCATTTTGCATCGGTGCTGTTCCCTTTGACTTCTCCGGAGGAAATACTGTGGCACGACTTACTAGCTAGCAAACCATTCTACCCGTATCACCTTCCGTGTGTAATTACATACAGTGTCAACCGGCATTGCATTGACTTGTCCAAACATTTGCAGAAGCTGTCTTCGGTCCCTGCTCATGGCGCCCACAACTTGCTTGAGGAAAGAGTAACGGTTACAGTCGTACAGTACTGTAGCCAAGCAACCTTCACCGTGCTGGTTCTCTCATTCAGGCTCATCGTTCGCTCGTTCGCCAGTCGCCAGCGTAAGAAGAAGGTTCTAGAATTCCGTAAGATTGATGTGCAAGTAGCATTAAACAGTGTCCCTTTTTGAGATGCTGGATCTCTGTGGAGTCAGGATCCCAAGCTGGGACTCTTGTGGATTCATGTGAATGGAACATCGGGAGAACATACAATTAATGCTTTAAAACCTAGTCAATAATGCCATTTAACTCTCGACAGAACTCAGGCTCGACCTGCCATGCAGCTCTCACGGTACTGCCGCCATCGTGGTCGGCAAAACCAAAACAACAGCATGCGCAAGACCCTTCTTTTGTTTTGTGGTGATCCCATAATGCACAACGCAACAGCAGCGAAGCATAGCAACCTCAAACCCCTTCTCAACCCCATTATCTCACTCTCTTCAATCTTTCAATACCCTCTCTCCACTACTTCTACCTTACCTTATTATCAACACCAAGATGATGAACACAATGGACCCCCACAACATCAGCCAATACCCTCAGATGGGCATGACGCAGGACACCTTTATGATGACGGACGATGCTCCCATGCAGTCGGGTACCGCCGTTCGTCAGGTGACTCCGCCTTCGATGAACGCGATGCACTTTGACAGCAACATGGACTACCCCGAAGGACCTGCGGTACAACCTGCGGCTCGCGAAGAGTTTGATCCCTTGCCCTGCGACGCTGTGAACCAGCGTGTGTTTGACGGACAACAGTTCTACAAGGCCAACTGTCTCTTGATGGAACACACGGACGAACGCGCCTACTGGTTGCAGAACCCCGTCCGCAAGGCCATGTTTGGGACTGTCATCGTCGGACAGATCCTTCAGAGGCCCGCGGCTTACGTACACGACCAGTCGATTACCCATTGGGAGACGACTGGGCAATTGGTCGCCATTAAACAAGTCAGCAAGGCCATGATGGCGCAAGCTCGTTCGTGTGGAAGCGCCGAAGACCCTCGTCGTGAACATGCCGCCATGCAACACCTCTATCTGGTCAGTACCGGAGGTGATGCCATGGGTGTCACGCCCACGCAAGCCATGGAACGAACCGGAGTCATGGTTCCGCAAGACTGGTTGCAAGATGAGCACTACTGCTACCTCATCATGCCCTATTGCAACGGAGGTGAACTCTTCGATTTGGTCGGCAATTCCGGACGCTTTAGCGAAGACGAAGCCCGACACTGGTTGCACCAAATTTTGGATGTAAGTGATTGTTGTTGGGAAGTCAATTTCGGACTCGAGAAATTTCGACGATGGTTTCTAATTTTATTTTTCTTGCTTTTTTCTCGCAGTCCCTCGAGACCCTCCACACGGCCGGAGTCTCTCACCGCGACTTGTCGCTCGAGAACGTCATGATCCACAATGGCCGCGCCGTCATTATCGATCTTGGAATGTCCCTCAAGGTCCCCACGGATCAACACGGCCGTCGCCACTTGATTCAACCGCAAGGACCGTCTGGAAAATGGACGTACATGGCCCCCGAATTGCTCGAAGGACATCGCAACCAAGCCGAAGGATTCGATGGTTACGCCATTGATATGTGGGCCGTCGGTGTCATTCTATACATTATGCTCACTGGACAAACTCCCTGGAAAATGCCACATGTTACCGACCTCAAGTTCCAAAAATACACGGACGGCTGGATGGAAGACATTATGATTAGTCAGGGAATGCGTCTTACGGGCAATGCATTTTGCCTACTGCAACGCATGCTCTGGTTGAACCCTCGCGATCGACTGTGTCTGCAACAGGTTCGATCGCATCCGTGGATGCGGGAAGGCTGCGGTGCTACCCACCGATCGTCCTTCCAGTTCCGTTCCAAATCGTTGGGTGTGGAAGGCGAAGAAGATGCCGACGAAAACGACGAAGGAGAACGCGCCGAAGTGCCCGAACCAGCCAAGATTTCCAAGGGCAAGTACACGCAAGACGACCAAGTGTCCATGGAGGATATGACCGTGCTGCAAGAGACGGTGGAAACCTACACGCTCAACAAAAAGGCACTCTCCGAGGAGGCGGAAGAACTCAAGCCTCTCGACGAAGAAGATGCCTACGTCAAGGCCATGATGGCCAAGTTGACTCCCAAGGCCGAGTAATCAAACGAAAGACGGGGGTCCACTTTAGTTTGCACGCATGAATAAAAAGCTATATAAAAAAACATCTTTTTAAAAAAGAATCAATTGTGTGGACCGAAAGCATAAGCAAACATCGTGTCGTCTCGTTGCCCGGGCTGGGTTTTCGATAGGTTGTGGCAACACTGGAGGTTGACGGGGCCCAGAACAACGATCCAAGTTCCTCCTTTTGAGACCAGCAACCGTTTGTATTGCTCCTCCTTGAAGGCTAAGGTGTGGCTTCCACCGCCGCCGCTGGACACACCAAGGCTTGTGGAGCAACGGCAGCCGTCACCATGGTCCATCCTTGAAAGTCGCCAACCGAGAGAACTGGAAATACGGAACAGTCGTTCGTGAATTCCATCGACCAGGTCAACGTGATTAGTTGACCTACTTGATTGAAACCTTGAGCGACAAATCTCATGCCACCAATGGTTACACCCGTGGTCGCTGCAAAGGTGTACGTGTCGCCATCCACAAGGTAGTTGAGTTCAACTTCATGATTTATGATTTGCATGCTTTGGTCGAGCTCGCTTTGGAACGGGAGAGATGCGGAGAGATGGAGAGAGCACGGTCAGCAGCCAGAAGTTAGCTATCAGTCAGCCACAACGAACATCAGCCACTTACATAATCTGAATCTGAATTTCAGTGGGGACCAAGTCTGTCACATCCTCACTGCTTGTTTCAATAAGGCATTCAAATTGCCCAATCCCCGCATTTTCCACTTGATCCGCTTGAGGACAGCCCTGAGCAAAGTTGACTAGAGGGGGAACAAAAAATGAAGTTGAGTTCGGTGGCTGCGATAAGGTTCCTCGAAACTTTGCGAGAGACTCACATGTGATGTCATACATGCTGGGGAGCAGACAAGTATCCGTACGGAAACAGTTAGTTGAGTTCGGATATGAGGCAGCTGCGACACTGTATGCATGAAAAGATTGGTATCAGAAACTCACATGGGAGTGCAAGAACACGAGTTAGGATCTGTTGGAGAGCTTGAGGGGTTATTCGTTGGGCCAGCACTGGGCAATTTTGTTGGAATGGTGCTGGGTGCTGAACTGGGTTCCTCTGTTGGGCTGGCACTCAGTACATCACTGGGCAGAATTGATGGACTAGTACTTGGTTCCACTGATGGCATGGAAGTTGGAACAATCGATGGGCTAGCTGTAGGCCTGGCACTTGGTTCTGAACTTGGTTGCTCTGTTGGACTGGCACTTGGTACAGCACTGGGCAATATTGATGGGCTAGCACTTGGACTCAAGGTTGGACTAGCACTTGGTTCTGCTGATGGCATGGAAGTTGGAACAATCGATGGGCTGGCAGTAGGGCTGATACTTGGTACTGAAGTTGGTACAGCACTGGGCAAGATTGATGGGCTACCACTTGGATTCAAGCTTGGACTAGCACTTGGTTCTGCTGATGGCATGGAAGTTGGAAGAATTGATGGGCTGGCAGTAGGGCTTGCACTGGGTACTGAAGTTGGTTTCTCTGAGGGACTGGTGCTTGGTACTGTACTGGGTGTACCTGTTGGACTCAAAGTTGGCTCCTTGCTTGGGCTAGTTGTGGGCGCAGCACTTGGAGCTCCTGTCGGCTCCATTGTTGGGATGTCAGTTGGACTTCCAGTGACACCCATGGTTGGAACATCAGTGGAAGTCGTCATGGTCATTTCATCCGATGGCATCGCGGTAGATTCCATCTCGGTCGGATCAAAAGTAGATTCCATCTCGGTTGGATCAAAAGTAGATTCCATCTCGGTCGGAACAAACGTGGACTCCATTTCGGTCGGATCAAGCGTAGGCTCGGGCGTCGAGGGGTCATCCTCGCTACTTCTGCTGCGTTTACTCATCATCATGCCCTTTTTGCTTTTCTTGCTTCGGGCCCCTTTCTTTGGCGCTCCCTTCTTCTTAAGCCCTCGACGGAGGGCTGTGGTCTGTGTGCTTGAGTAAGTTTCTGCACGGCATGTCGCACAGATCGACGCACAAACCAAGAGAAGCAATAAAATCTTCATGGTTCTAGATAGTCAGGTTCAATGAAGCCGCGAAACTGTTGATTCAAAGCGACGATCTTCAGCGAATTGTGAACATTGGTGGCTGAGGTGACCAAGCTTGACCTTGCGACCTCCTGCATCTCGGACTTTACTTGAAAGGGGAGTTTGCTGTCAGCGACTGCAAGACAAGGCGGCAGGAAAGTTCCTTTCGCACTCCACTCGGTGAGTGGGTGTCGTGCGAGAGCAAGTGAGGTGCGTTCAGCCAGTCTTTACAGTACGGTACGGTACCGGTACATTGTGAGGGACACTCTAGGAGGGGTGCGGATTCCTTGTTCGAATCTCAATCTAACTTTCCTTGCCGCCTTGGAAGGAGCTTTTCAATTCTTATTGTACAAACAAATACATGTAAAGTGCATCTCCACGACCGAACCCCCTGGGAGAGAGACAAAGCCACTATCAATCGAACCAAGCCCGTACACAGTGTAGAGGACATCCGGATGTTCGAAGGCTGGGAAAGAGCCATCGTTCGACGTAAAGTGCGGTCGAGGTGCTTATTAAAAGTTGGTGTGGGCTGTGCGAGGGAAGGGTGCTGGTGCGGAGGAGTTCCTTCAACCGGAGCGAAAAGGCAGCGAAGTTACCAATGCACCACACCGACGGGATCAAAACTGAACGGTACCCGTGACGGTGCGACGGTCGATGCCATGTTCGTGCTGGAAAACTTTGACTTCACACCCTGCTGGGCAAAGTGCATCTCGTTGGTTTTGATACATGTAATTCTACTTGAGGCCAGACGAAAGAAACCTTTTCCCTTCTCCACATCAACTAACTTGCTTGAAGGCAAAGACAACAAACCGGCAAGTTGTCATTTTCGCCCCAACTGATCCTGATAGATCCAACCTTTTTGGTGGCTCTACTAGCCCAATATTCCATCATTGCCCAACGCCCGACACGTAAAGGAAACCTTTATCATCTAGTAATTTCAGAAACATTTTTAATGTTCAAAGAATTTGATTTGATCTATCCAAACTAGACTCCTCCCATCTGCCACCTATGGCATCATTCTATTCAGGCCACAATCCAACAACAACACACGTTATCTTCCTTTCCGCAACTTAGTTAAAGTGTCTTCATAGAGTAGAGTTTCAAGGAGAATTGAGCCAAGATGGATAGCATGAGCATCATTCCTAAAACTGTGGGGGCTGTGGTGTCATCATAGGGACCGGGCAGCCTGTTTCGGATCATGTAGGCCCTGCGAGCATCTGCCAGGATTTTAGAACAAACAATGGTCAGATTTAGTTGCATAAAGTCTTTTTTCGGAGGAGCAGATTGCGGATTGAATACATGCATACTTGACTTACATTGGTACATGGCATGCACAATGAATGCCACTGCCACAGGAAGCAAGATAACTCCATAGATTTGAGAAAATGGATTCTGATCCTCCGCAAACGCCAAAATAGCAATGGAAGCTCCTGCCAGCATCACAGAGAGATGCATCCATGCCAAAAACGTTCTTTCATTGGCAAAAAAGACTTTTGGCTCCACCTTGACGGGTGCTTTGCGAGGTTTAATCATGTTGGAAGCATCGCGCTTGGGAGCCTTCTTGCCACCTCCAAACAAGCCTGAAAACAAACCACCACCACCGCTGTTTCCATTAGTACTGGTTGCTGCTGGTTGCGTCAGAGTTCCTTTGCGAGTTTTCTGTGGGTCAACCCAAAATGGAAGAAAAGATGAAAATGCAAAATGAAACGATTCAAGATGAGTCAGGAATGCAGGTTTTTTCTGTGTGTAGAAAAACTAGAGACTCCCCTAAAGACGCACCACCGCTGGGCTTCCAATCACTCGAGGAGCAAATTCTTCATGTGTGGCTCCGCTGGGAAGTGTCTCATGCACAGGTCCTCCATCACCATCACGGACTGAATCGGATGTTCCTCCTTGTTGATTGCCGTCTTTCAAAAAGTAGTACTTGCTGGACTCAATACCACCAGCATTGGATGGCAAAAGAGGGGTCTTCTCGTGGGACATATTGTTAAAGGAGGTTATTGGTTCAAGGAAGTTCTTGGTTGAACGGGTTGGGTGTGATACCGGTACCGATAGTGTATGCTGCTTGCTGTTTTATGCTGTCCTGGTCGAAAGGAAAAAATGAAGCTTCCCCCAAAACCTTTCTCGAAACGCTTGCCAAGCCAGCTTGATCCGAAAATCCCAGGGTTCCGGCATTCGGAGTTGATGTCATCGGGTCACGTTGCATTAGGGACCCAATCATGCACGATCTTCACCCTTCCACGTGCGTCCCAGGTGAACTCCATCTTCGATTTGCCTCATTTTTGTTCTTCCTTTTTTCCGAAAACATGAGGCACCGCCGATGCTGCCATTCTAGCTAACAGTACAGATGGTACAGACGCAGTGGACGCCAAAGATGGATTGTCTTCTTTCATTATAAAAGATCATTGACGATGGCTGCGCTGTTACAGTTAAAGGATCGTATTATTGGCTCCATCATGGGCGTCTTTATCGGAGACGCCTTGGGCGTTGGTGTGCATTGGCAGTATGATTTGGACGTGTTGGAACGAGAAAGAGGTTTTGTCACGGACTACTTGGATCCGTTGCCGGGAACATTTCACTCGGGAACTCCAGATGCACCCGCGCCTGGAACACTCAAGGCTGGCCAACTGGAGCAGCAAGGTGTGATTGATAAGCTTCTACTGGAGAGTTTGGCTACATATGGCGCATTGAATCAATCCGATTTTCTCCGTCGATTGGAAGACACCATCCTGCTCGGAGATTCTACCATGGATGGAACGCGACAAGGAGGAAGATACGGCTGGACCGATAAGTCCATCTGTGACATTTACAAGGCGCGTATTATGGAGGGGAAACCATGGGAAGACTGTGTGCCACCGCGTAGCGATACTCCAGATTCCATTATTCGCGCAGCTTTGATTGGAGCTCTGTACTTTCAAACTCCGAGAGAAATGGCCGTCCAGGTTCAGACTCATGCCAGATATGCTACAATGGACAGCAGTGTTCAGAGTCATGCAGTCGCCTTTGCTAGCATGGTGGCTGCCACGTTGGATGCGGATCTACCGTTGGATGACACATTGTCCACAGCCTTGTACAACCAGGCGGGAAAAGCATTGCCCTTTTCTACCATGTACAGCTCGAAGGACAACGATCCAACCTATGGAACCTACAGTGAGCCAGACTCCATGCTGTGGTTCGGACAAATCGCAAAAGGTGTCAAGGCCAACCAGGACTATCTCCCGTCCAAAGCTCATCGAGGGGTCCTGTTGTACGGACAGTTTTGTGCGTTTTTCGCTTCCTTGCCGTCGGCGTATTATTGCGTAGCACGGTTCCCCAATAGCTTTGAAGATTCAATCCTATGCTCGATCAACGGAGGTGGTCAAACGACAATGCGAAGTAGCTTGGTGGGAGCCCTTGTCGGAGCCAAGGTTGGCCTTCAAGGGATTCCCAGTCGGTTCCTTCAAGGCCTGGAAGACCACGAGTATCTATTGGCTCTGGCCTCATCCGTGGCCGACGTAGCAGTTGCCAGAAGCAATTCCAGTGATGCCTGGAATTGGCCAAGAAATAATAAGGATGGTGAACACGGTTTGCCGGTTGGAAAGCTTGACAAGAATAGTGAGCAGCGGATTGACGGAAACTTGAATGCCATTGATTCGATTGGTGGTTGGCACTTCCGAGGAGATACCCCGTTTTCATTGTCGGGCTTTGGAAAATACAACCCGGATGGATCGGACGGTAGGTTGATTCCCGCAGCGTTCGTCTTGGGGGTAGCTCTGGCCTTTCTCATTCCATCGGCGTACAAGCGGGGTGTCCGTAGCATTGCATCCCGGCGACGCAGTCATCAGTACGAAGTAATAGCGTAGAAGTGCTACAAATAGCTAGCTAGAGGTCTGCAATCAGTACCGGTACGGTCCCTGGTAGGACGCACAATGGACCAAATATTAGAATGCAAGGTGCGAGTTTGCTGAAGACTGGCATCCATACTGTTCGGTACCACCACTTTTCTCGACCGGTAGCAACAGCTATATATACATGTACTAGTACGGTACCGGTACCGGTACCGGTACCGGTACCGGTAGCTGCGCAACAACCAAGAGTGCCGAAAGGTTGCTCCTGCGGCTGTACCGTACCCTACCATATGCTGGGGTGCTTTGTTGTTGCGAGCTCCAATACACCCCACGAGGTCCACTGAAGAGTTCCTCGAGACGATTAGTCGGCGCGAAGTCGAATTGTTCCGTTTCAGACCCACCTTGCCTCGAGCCTTCTGGGAGCAACACTTGCCAATTAACGCAGTCCAGAGCGGCAAGAACCCCCCCTCGGGGGGGGCGATCTTTTGCCTGAACTGCTCCAGCCAAGAGCAAGTTACTCGACTCCACTTGCTGCACGCCTCAGGAGGGCTCTCATAATTTCAGTTATCTGAAAGTCGAAACGCCTTTGCATCTGGGTCTCCTGCATCCGTGGCGATTTTGGAGCGCACCATGGCGCTCCAAAACCGCCACCGGCTCCAGTGATGACCCCGATGCAAACGAAGTCAAGACGCCTCCAAGCATCGACCATGGCAACATTGACAACGGCCCAATCGGACCAATCTCGTGACGATCGCTCTTCTGCGTTGGACATATACAACGCTTTGAGCCATCGTATCCGAGAAAAGATCCGATTGGAGAGAACGGCGACTGGACCAGTCAGGACGACCTGTCCCTCCCACGTCGACCATGGGCGTCGTTGTTGTGGGGCTACCGTACGGCCCGGCGGGTTGGCGATCCAAAATCAACAAGTTTGTACTGGGAGACGGAGCAGGTGCTGACGAGCAGTTGGATTGGTTGGCCGCGTGAACGCTCTTTGTATTGGAACACCCAACACTTTGAGCCTTCCAGCGTCTGCCAATTTGTCCTACGCCTCGATACGCCCCATGTAGATTTCAATGGTACTGATGGTTCTTCTGTGTTGGCGCCATTGCCAACACAGCTGGGCCATTCAGTACATCGTTGGATCCAGCGTTGCTTCACTCCCAAGACGGAAAGGACACAAGAACCAAGCTGGATAAAAAGCTGCGAGAAAGATCCTCTTGGGGGTCGATGACTTGTTGGATGCGATGGAGGAGATGGTTCCTTGTATTGGAAAGCAACGTTGCCAATGCACCGAGCCATCTTCCTCGCCCGCATCACCAACAGCGATTCGAACCCGCGAGGATTCTGTCCAGACTGACTGTGTGCCCGCGCCATTGTGTTGGAAGCTTTCTGTCACACAGAGGAACACGTTCACTGGCTGCACTCGACGACAGTGGTAATCCTTCGCCATTGCCGCCGCCTGTGGATTGTGACGTTGTTCCCTTGTGTGTTGGTTTGTACGGCGTGTTTGAACTAAAGTTGGTCTGTCACTGTCGCCACTTTGCAAACATGAAGAGCGAGACTGTTCTTTTGGCTCTTGGCGACTATGGCATACCTTGGCCATTGCCGCTGCTGGAGCCCGAGGGGCACTTCCTCCTCAGTTATTTTTGTAGAGCGGCGCCTTGAAGACATCATGGAACTGGAACAATACGATTGCAGTGTCACCCACTCTTGTTCTGGTTGGTCCTTTGTCATGGACATTGTGCGTCTCCACCATTCTCTGTGTGCTAGAAGTTCCTTGCACTCTCTGCATGGTCGGGAACGACATGGTGCACATGATAAGGTTCGACAAGGACAATGTTGCACTGAAACAACATCACATTGCTGTGTCGGTCACCCACTCTGCGAGCAAGTGTTTTCTTGTTCTGGTTGATCCTTTGTCATGGACGTTGTGTGCTCCACCCTTCTCTGTGTGCTAGAAATTCCTTGCACTCTCTGCGTGGTCGGGATCGTCGCAGCTTCCATGACAAAGGTGTTCTACAAGGACCATGTTGAACTGGAACAACATGATTGCAGTGTCGGTCACCCACTCACCCACAAAAAGAGCAACTGCATTCTTGGCATTGTCGATCTGTCAACACCTTTGTCATGGACGTTGTGCGTCTCCACCATTCTCTGTGTGCTAAAAGTTTCTTGTACTCTTTGCATGGTCGGATACCCAGCAAGGTCCATTTCAAAGGTGTTGGTGGAGATAAAGTTCCATGCATGACATCATCCAAAAGGATTCATTTGGTTGGGATGTTTTCCCTTCGGTCTTGTAGGACTCAGGCTTCATGATTGCTCTCTGCGCTGGTGCTGCATTGCCAATTCTTTGAGCCATCATGTTTGGATTGATTTCTACAATCTCTGACAACTATGCTGACTCAAATGATATGTTGGACTGCTGTGTGGGACATCTTGGGTTCGGTCACCCACTCTGAGAGCAACTGTAATCTTGTGCTTGTTGATCCTTTGTCATGGACGTTGTGTGCTCCACCATTCTCTGAGTGCTAGGAGTTACTTGCACTCTCTGTGTGGTCGGGGTACAGCAAGTCCATGACCAAGGGGTGGAACAGAACAATCGAACAAGGATCATGGTGAACTGGAACAACATGATTGCTGTGTCCGTCACCCACTCTGAGAGCAACTGTAATCTTGTGCTTTTTGATTCTCCTTTGTCATGGACATGCTATGTCTCCACCATTCTCTGTGTGCTAGAAGTTTCTTGCACTCTTTGCATGGTCGGAGTGCGGGCATGCCCATGACAAAGACAAGTTGCTTTTTTGTGTTGGAATGCCCTTGCCAACCCTTTCCACCATGGTCTTGCATGACGGACGCTTCATGATGGCTCTCTGCATTGGACCTTCATTGCCAATTCTTTGAGCCATCTCAAGGAAATTCCGTTTTGCGAGACCCTTCATGGATGTTGGCCCCATTATCTCTACCCTACGGCGAGGACGACTTGGCGACAAGGCAAAACCTTCGCCGCACAAGATTGCGCCTTTCCTGTCAGCAACTTAACAGGGATTTGCATGGTCACTTGTGGAGGATATTTTTGCTCTGTGGCCGTTTTCCTGTCCTTGTCGAATCATGCATAGCTTTTTAATAAATTTAACGATAGATCATATTGTGAATACCTAGCTAGCTAGCTGGAACGAATCCACATCACCGTACGTGTTCCCTCTCTGCCGCCTCCTTATCATCCCTCGTACCGCTATCCTTTGCATGCGGCGCGAGGATTTGCTCGTGGACGGATGGGATCTTCTCATAGATGCGACGACGGTATCGGGACATTATCAAGCGACCAGCCAAGAATCCCACGATTCCGGCAACCAATAACCAAGCAAGGAATGTGCAGGCTTGTTGCAAGAACCTCACCCTCCACATATCATCCGACGACGGAGCCGCGGTAGGTCCGGGGCTTAACATGGACGGAGCAGCTGCTGGCGCCAACGAGACTGTCGAGTGGAGTATCGTGGGTGACAAAGTCGGACTTGTGGTTGGTTTCTTGGTTGGGAAAGGTGAAGGCGGTGGCGATGGAGCCAATGTTGGAGGAATCGTCCACGTAATGTTCAATTTCTTGCAGTGTTTGGGTGGCCTACTAGACAGCAAACAGATGCTTTCTGAGATCCACTCTGCTTGATTGCTGACTCGTGTGTAGTAGGCTGGGATTCCAGGACGTCCGCATCCCAAACCGTCCTCTGTGATGCCGACAATCTTGTTCCCAACCAATAGCGGGGTCCCCGAGTCCGAAGCACAGCCATCCTTTCCACCCTCCAACGTACCAGCGCAGATATGCATTTCTTCCGTAAGATTGAACGCGTTGTTCTGGTTCCGGTAGATTTGTTTGCACACCTCGAAGGGAAATACTTGAACATCCACTTTCTTGAGTATGTTTGACAAGGGACCCCCATTCTCGGCAACCCAACCAAAGCCAATAACGGTTACAGTAGAATTGACCACTGGAAAGGAGCTCTTTCTATTGATTTCAAAAGGCTTTGCCTTGCTGTGTCCCTTGAGCTTGATTATAATGATATCGTTTTCTCTGGAGGCCCAGTTGTAACGTGGATGGATCAGAGTGCGCTGGGTGGGAAAGGCTGTGGCATTTGCTCCAGTGATCCAAGTAGGGCCGACATAGTTTCTCTGGTTTCCTGGCTTGAAGGAGACTGCGCAATGCGCCGCAGAAACAACAATATCAGAGTGGACCAATGCCGCTCCACAGCCCCAACCATCAGCAGCCAAACCAGACCAAACAAATGCGGGAAACGAGTCGGATGCATTGGGGACAGTTTCCCCTCCAACTATCAAGGAGCGATTCATACTGTTTGCCATCTTGCCTTCTTCATATTGTGGGAATCCTCGCACAAGACGAGACGGGTATCATGAGGGCGAGTGTCAAGCGTTCCAAAGATAGCAAGAGCGCTGTCCCAATGAAAGTTATCCGTCCAAATGCATGTTGCAGTTTCGCGTGATTGCCCTGCAACTCCGAGAGGTGCGTCAAGAGGTGAGTGATTCAGTCACGGATATTCTGGAAAGGCATTGTCAATTGTGTCTCGAAAATGCGCTACCCGTGTCTACACAAACTTCGGCGAACTATCGTGCGCGCCGGCGCATCAAGCGAACAGAACTAGTAGTAGCTACATACAAGTACTGGTACGGGTACCGTACGATATTATGTAGTGCTATGTAACACCACTTGGTACTTGGTACCACACGCGCTGGGCTAGCACAACAACACAACGATACTACAATGCAACGATATGACACACTACCATGTCCACTGTTTGGGTTCAGCTCCACATTAAGGGAGAGGACGGGCCCTCAGGCGACCCTATTAAAAAAAATTAAACCAGCACCTGACGATGTTTCTGACTTGAAAAAGGCCGTGAAGACAGAATTGCAGCCAAAAATCGACCATGCGCCGCTTAATGAGATATTTGTCCACCCACCGAGAGCTGCTGGTGTTGCTGTTGGGGATCATTACAAGCCAGGCAGGAAATTGGCAGATTTAATTGAGGCATTGAAGGACACATCCGATGATCATCCCTTGATTTTGGTGGCACCTGCACCTCATCCACAGCAGCCGGATCACGCGTGGTTCAAGGTCTTGGGGAAAATATCTCGGCCAGTAAGCCACGCAGGGGCCCGTTACCAGTTGTACAAATTAGTTGTTGCTCATGGTGGTTTATATCCCCCTGTCGACGAGTTGATGGTGGACAAACGATCAACCTTTTTGACTTCCCTCATCAACGAAGCACATTCCGTTGTTTCATTCGCTGTGGTTTTTTAGGATGTGGCACAGGTGGCCCAGTTCATCAACGGTATTACATTGTATTTGATGAAGAACAATCTCCTAAATGATGAAGGGAGCGCCACAGAGGAACCAACTCTGACAAAGATATCCAGCTACCCAATCAACCATTCTGACATTATACTGCAAACACACTATAAACCACGAGATGGGGAGGCAGAGTCTGGATCGCCCCTGATTGACATGGTTGTTGACGTTCGCTCAAGCGACATCACCGTTGATGTGACTTTACTCTCGAGATTCGACCCTACATTCCAGTTTCAACGGATCGAGAACGATAACTCTTTTGGATTGGCGGACCCTGAGTCCGCCCACATATTTCCTAGTGCCAAATGTAAAGGCATATACGAATGGTTGGACCGACCTGAATTCAATCGTCTTGCTCTAAGTAGAGATGTTCATCTCAACTTTGATGGAACTGGGAGAGAAAGAGGAAAGCGTCGAAAATGCAGCAGACATTTGCAATGAAGCCTTTGCGACCTGACAACGGATACACAATGTGTACCATAGCTGATATACAATGCTACAAGATCCCCTTGGAGTTGGTCCTGAATGTCAATGAAATTGCCGATACGTTAATCAGCAAACTGGGGAACGACGCAGTTCTTCATAAACACAATGACAGGCACTGGACAATCGACGGTTCAGACGTCGCTGTGTACCACCCTAAAGGTACACAAGTCTCCCTCACGACCGAGGAGACAGACAACGGCACCGTTTCACTTGTAACTGGTATTCCTGGTGTGGAAGATCTCAACGATTGTTGGTCAAATGCTCCAACCAACTTATACTCTGTAGAAGCTGCAGAGATCATGGAAAAATGCCTCATATGGAATCATCACAACACTTTGCAGTCATGGAGTTTGGTTTGATGTTTTGGCAAGTTCACACTATGGAGGTAGATACCAATCTCCACCCTAAGCACCCAACTTCAATCGCCCAGGAGTCGAAACAAGTGCTACTTGTAGACTAGTCTAATCTTCTGGCTAGCTAGCTAGCCATAAAAATAACTAGCCTTTCGGCGATTTTACTTGCCTTTACTAGCCCCCACGCTGAACGCTAACGTAATTTAAGCAAGAGTATAACAAATATTGACAAATCAGTGGTGGTATATGCGTAATGAAGGGACCAGGTACATGTAGAAACAGAAAGGGTGTGAAGAGAGAAACCGGCTTTTAGGAGAAGTTCTCGGGTAGTCTCCTCAATAGCTAGATCCTTGTCCAGCAGCACCATAAAACATTAAGTGCAGATTGACGAACGGCATTCCCATTACCGACATGTTTAGAAGCCAGAACTCAGACAATGACACTGTTTCTGAAACCTTTGTTGGCTCGGCTCTGGGTATCCTCACGAAGAAACCGGTTCATGTTGGCCAAATAACGCAAGACTGTGGGCTCAACGTTCTCCTCAGTGAGTTCACCATCAGTGTTGATTGGAGGGAAAGCTTGCATGATCATCTGTTTGTAGACAGGGGGCCAGCCTCCATCCAGGAAATAGCCACCATCTTTAAGGTACTCTGTGAACCACCTTCCCATGGCTTCTGCATCAGCGTCAATGTCTGCTTGGGGTGGAATCGTTTTGTTGAGAATTTCAATATTCTTCCGCTTACCATCTGGCTGTTCCAAGTCATTCAATATATCATGCATCACAAATCGGTGGTATTCAAAGTCGGACTTGGCATTCTTTTTGAGTGCTTTTACATTCTCCTTGTCATCTTGGTATTCTTTGATTGGCAACCGCAAGAAGGGCAGACCCTTCTGGAATCGAGAATAGTTGAGATCATCGATAAACTTGGCCGGTACCCAATCACCACGTAGGGCCCTATCTACCAACTCCTGGTCTTCCAGGTCAACTGCTGCCTGATAGTTCACTGGTGGCTTCCTCTTGAGAGCAGGAGCAAACATGAGTGGCGAGTTGACGAGAGCAGCCAGGAAGCTCACACCCACACATGTCCACATGGTTTCGAATATCCCGATTTCATCTGCCATAACTCCCAAGATCCAAGGACTAACAGCAAATGCAAAACTCATAACAGTCATGTTGATGCCTTGTGCAAATCCACGTCGATCTTGAGGTGCCAACATGTCCAACATAGGCCCCGTTGATAACTGACTGATAACAGTCAAGGGGAAGATCAGATACAAAGCCACAATGAAAATTGCAAAGGTGGTTGTGGTTGGAGGATCAATCCTCGTAATGTACAAACAAATCACAATACCGACTCCAGTGATTGCATTGCCCACAACGCATCCGCCAGCAGCACCAATCCGTGCAAAGACTGGCTGGGTAAGGGCTGCCCCTGGAATGACCATCAAAGCGACACAAACAGAGAGCCACTTGTATGCAACATCCGTCATGATTGGATCTTGTTGTGCCATAATAAAGTCCGAATAGAACGTTTTGAATGCAAGGGGTGCCAATGCCATTGGGAACAAGCCCGAGCTGCCAATGTTGTCCAAAAGGGCGCCTGCAATCACATTGCCAAACAAACACCAATTAATGCTTTCTGGAGCGTCGCCCTCGTCCTCGTCACTTTCCTCGTCTTTAGGGATGAGGCACTTGTCCGGTTCAATCAGGAACATGAAGCAAAAAATAAGGGCAGCAAAGCTCACCCCAGCCCCTACAAGGAGAGGGGAAAACAAGTTTTCGTTTTCCATCAAAATTGCAACCACTCCTCCTCCACTCATGCCAATCATGTTGAAGCCAACAATGGCCCCGATCTCTTCATCTTTCTTGGCGCGGTTGGGATGTACATCACTCGCATATGCCATTGCGACTGGCATTGCGCTGCAAAAAAGCCCACAGGCAAAGCTGGCTGCACAGAATCCCCAAAAGGTATGGCGAGCGAACCACTGTCCCACTAGACCAGCAATCATTCCAGTCATGCACAACAGAATGCAGGGGCGTCGACCAACACGGTCTGACACACTGCCAATGAATGCACTGGTGATGGCTGTCCCAAGGAGAGTTGTCATGGGCAAAAAATACAGCGCAGCTGAGAAGTCGAAAGGATCGGTGCTGGGGAAAGAGTAAGGGGTACGTCCCTTGCAAAAACATGAAGGATTGAAGAGAAGAGATGGTAAGAAATTGTTTTGGAGTTGTACGGTACAATCTTCGACTTCCATTCTTTTCTTCTTACCGGAATTGCCAAGAAGGGGAAATTTGGCTGGAGTATGGTCTGACTGCAGGCAGTGGCCAAAACTGCAATGCGGACTGCCATCATCGACCATTTAAGAGAATCTTCCTCAGCAACAAGACGATGACGGGGACTCAACTGAGTCATTTCTGACAAGGTGCAGTGCTTTCCTTTCTTGACCTTTGGGCTGCCATGAATGCTGTAGTCAATACCAGTGTCGTAATCAACCGCTTCATGCTCATGCTCTTCCATGAGTTTTGCCATATCAGAAGCACCCGTTTCTTCATGACACTCCAGTCTCTTCATAAGTTGCTTCGCCGCAGCCTTGGCCAAGCTTGGATCTTCCACATCGGTATTCATGGTGGATTCTTCTGGTATGTGGATTCTACTTTGGTATGGCGCTGTACGACCGGGTGTGGGGTAGTAGTGATGGCAGTGGCTTCTGTTGCTTGAGCAGCCAGAATTGTGAGTTTGGGATTTGGGATCTCGCCTTGGATTTTGGATCTCGCCCCTGATCTCGCGCCTTGAACCTCGAACCTAAAAGAAGGGCTACAGTCAACTCGCTCTAATATTACTTGGGGGGGATTTCGGACTTCGGGTAATATAATAGAGAGAAGTAATATTAGGCTTTTCAAGGGCCGGTTCCACTAGTAAAGTACGAATGGATAGAGCCGTCACGTTTACGCTTGCCCGCCCTAGCAGCCCTAGCCACATTCAATGCCCTGCAAACCTGTCAAGATGCACAGTGGCCGCCTGGTTGATACCCAAAGCAGAGGCACTCTTGGAGAGCTTGTTGAGTGCTTCTTCAGCTTCGGCAAATGAGGCAAAGACATCGGCAGGTTCCGGATCAATCTCCTCTGGTTCCGGTTCCTCGTCATCAAGCACAGCCAGTTCGGCTTCTGTTGCTTCAACTTCGAGCTCTTCAATCTCTTCGTCGATGGTTGCGCTAATGACTTCGGGCTCATCCTCAACATCGATCCAATTCTCCGCCATTTGCAGCACATCGTCCCCAGAGTACATATCGTAATCAGCAGCAAACGATCCTTGCAGTGCAATTGCGTGCCTGGTCACATCCACCTGGGTTTCTTTAGCTTTAACTTGGAGAGAACTCATGAGATGACACAAGTCGTCGGAATCCTCCTTGCTCATCACCTTATCTTTCATAGGGATTGAAGTGGACCCAAGGTCAGCATTGATGTCTGTTTCGGCGGGGACTTTGGTGGTGGCACGATTAGCCCAAGAAACAGACGACGTGTTGTCGGACCAAGACACCACCACCACAGTGGCGAACTTTTGGACGCTCCCCAACTAACGGTAATAAGTTCATGGTAAATTTCTCCTGGGAGAGAGGAATGGAAGGCGATCAACGATGGAACCACACTGCCATCGTTCCAGATAACTGACACGTCAAGAACTCCAACTGATTGATGTGGATGTAGTTTGGGCGAAGAGGGGTCCAGCTTCAGGCATCGACGAAAACGGTCACTCCAAACAATGTCAAAACAGAACTTGAGTTTGGGGCGTGTAACCACCAGCGCCATATTCACTGGTCATCGACCCAGGCGATAGCGGTGGGGGTCTCTGGGAATGATGGTTCCGATCTCGGCCTCAAACGGAATAGGATACGATTCAAGTAATGGAGAATGATTGGACAAGGAACTGCGAAGGACGAATCGACCGTTTGGGTTCCTTTGTTGCGACACAATCAGAGAGGGCTTTCTCACCGTGCCAAGATTTTTTGACACGTTTCCAGAGAGCCTCAGTAGCTCTGCATGCAAGTCGACTGCCTTCTGCTTGCCAATCTCGTTCCCAGGTTTTGCGCTGGGTGAAATAGAGGCGCTGCAACAAGGTACGCATCCGATTCTGGGGGGAAAGAACCAAGGGCGTGCACCACACCACATAGCGTGTGTTGTTTTCCAAGACGCCTAGGAGTCAGCACCCTCGAGCAATGAGAACCTGATCCTTCTGGAGCCAATCCTCGAGGCGGCGGGAAAATGACTCATTTTCTCTGTTGCTCCAACATGGAGATAGACAATCGCCGGTGTCCCAATGGCGCCAAACAATCTGGCCGCAAATGCCATGGAGGGGATCCAACTCTCCAAACTCAATTGGTTGACGATGTCAAGGAGAGGCTCACCGAGAATCTTGTAAAGTGCTAATGACGCTGCATGCAATAGTCGCTCCATAGTAGCCCTCAAATCAGCTTTAGCACAATCAACAACATGATGAAGGAAAGGGGTGGGAGCGATTACCATCGCTGTCATGGATGTCTTGATGCTGACTATCGGGTGGCTTTAGAAAAGCTGCAATTTCAGCCTCCGTCGTTTCTGGGGTGAACTGGATCGTTGTTAAATATTGGCGCGCATTTCAACCACATTGGGCTCATGGAGCCACAGCCACCGAGCAAGCCAGGCAGAGCAAGGGCAATCCGGTCCAGTTGGAGGGAGTTGTATTGTCTCCAAAAGTGCCAACGGTATTGAACACGCCGAAACCACACTGACACTCGTATGCATGCAACCAAATTGGGATGATATTTCAAACAAACGGAAGGCACCACTGACGTAATCGTCGCCAAGGTAGATTTCCTCAAACTCGCGTCAATCCGCGCATTCCCAGCCATTTCATAAACTCTTGTTCGATAGCCACACAACAACTGGTTTTTCGTACGAAGAGTCCTTCCAGTCGTTGATAGAAACAGAGAATGGGTGGGACGGAAAGAACTGCAAAGATCACTCTCGGTTTCTTGTACTTCTTGTCCAGGTCCACCATGCCCTGGGGGGTAACGTGACAGTTCAAGACGAAGTGAATGACACGCTTATCGAAAGGTAAGACGTAACCCTTTTTGACATCCTTCACCAGAGTCTTGTAGACTTCTCGGGTACAGTTTCGCAGCTCTTGTATTCCCGTACTTGAAAAACTGCTGGAAGTTTTCCTCCGTGGAATCGGCATTGCAGTGCCGTGGAATGCCCTGGATAAAGATGCGCTCACAGTCTTCGTAGATGTCATCGGGGATCTTACTTTCAGGTAGCGAAGCATCTCTGGAACATTGCGATGAGCATTCACATGCGGACCTCCACCCAAGGACAAGAGCAGCAGCGTCACATCGAAGAACAGCAGAGCGCGGTGGCCATCGGACGCGATGGGGGTCCACTTCTGTCATGTTTCTCCCAGTCGGAAGGATAACCCCGAAGGTCGTGGAAATCCACGTCACCGAATTCATCCATCAGTTCGAGGAAAAGTTTGACATCTCATCCGTGGCTGCCATCGTTTCCCACTTCTCTCGCGTCATGAAACCCGATTTCCACAGTGGTAGCAAGACATGGCGCCGAGTTGGACGGTACGAAACGACTGATTGATATTCTCCTTACCGTTAGTTTCGTCGACCATAGCCTGAACCCGTGCACTGCACTTTGTGGCAGCGAAGTGATTAAGCTCCTTCTTCCGGTAGAACTGTTGAGAGTAGGATGCCGTCGGGCTTGGATGCGACGAGGATCCTTATCCGCAGGCTTGCGAGGCTTTGGGAAAGCTGTTCATCAGGAAGATCAATGCGTCTACACCATCAGGGCCATCTCCAAGCTCGTCCTACGGTCATGGGCACCGGAGGTGACTTGGGAGTCTCAGGAATCGTTGGTAAAGCGCCAGTGAACTTGTCGAGACGCTTGAACAGTGGCACAGAATGAACCTGGGGGGGGGCGCAGCCAAGTCGAGCCGCTAGAGGGAGAGCAATTCCGGTTTCCTACGAAAACTAGAAGGAATGGTAATCAAATCTGAAACGTAGATTAGTAAATGGTTATTCAGACGAAGACAGGAGTGGCAAGAGCCTCAGCGCATACCAGTGGGCCCTGATTGGAGCAAAGGAGATAGTCGATTTGAATTTACCGACGCAATCAGTGAAAGCCTTCTTGCTCTGGGGGGAGAAGTCCCGCCAACTGCCGAAGTGGATCATATGACACTTGGGATTTTCACAGGAGAACCCCCGGAAGTAGAAACTGGGACAAGCCATCTCTAAGCGCTTCGTAGTCGGGTCCTCGATGGCAGGCAATGACATGGGGAATTTGGGGAGAGCACCTTTGTACTGGAGCAGCCCGAGTCCCGGCTTGCCACGGTTAGCCGATGGGGCCTTGGTAGCAGGATTGGTTCGTGGGGGCTGGGCGGTAGCAGGAGTGGGATTTAACCGGACTCGTTTGAAAGGCTCGGGCATACCAAGCTGAGAGCGGAAGGACTGAGAACCAAGAGATTCGTCCAAACGCCGCTTGGGCTGAAACTCAGCGGGCTTGCGGATGCCCATCAAATCAAAGGGGGCCTCCAAGACCGTCATCTGATCCGTTGGAGGTGCAGGGCATTCTAAGGCCCTCGCCATCTTCTCTGCCGCATTCAAAGCATCGATAACCCCTTCGAAAATGTGGGGGAGAAGTTGCTGTTGCCGGCCTGAACGTGCGAATCACCGTGGTGTTGTTTGCCACTTTCACAGGTTAGAAAGGATCTTCTGACCTCCAAAGGAGATGGCACCACTGGCTGAGGGAACCCTGCGAAGCTATCATTGCACTCACGGGCACCATCACTCTCAGCAAGGAGTCCATCTGGAGAGGCACTTGCCGAGCAAGTCTTGTCAAAGTTTGGACGATACCGCTGGCAAGGCAACGAAGGTTACGAATAGAACCAGGACATCGTTCAAGAGAAGACAACGACCTTTAAGAACAAAATCCCATCACCGAACCGAAATGTCCTTGTCAAACGAATCTGCCACAACGACGAGGAAGAGGAAGCCAAGGACGTCTGCTCGTCTTTACCAACTCAAACTCAGGAGCTGTTGGTTGGGACGGAGAAACGTGACCAACGAGAGCTGTTTCTTGGCTGCACTGCCACCTTGACCAAGGAGAGGCTGAGCAGTTGAAGCCACGGAGAGCTTCGTGAAGCCGGAGTTGATCACCTGGGAACTCCAGAAAACACTTCGGTCGCGGTAGTTCACGCTCTGGCGTGACTCTGTAATGAGAGACCGACCACGAACTCACGGCTTGCTGGGCGGGGAAGGCTGAGTGGGAACCAGAACTGCCTCGAAGTCAGGCTTGAGTACGGCTAGGGTAAAGACACCATCATCGTAATGACCGAAGAAGATCTGGTAAAGGTTTTGGTCCGGAGCATCTGGTTAGCATGCTGCCGTTCCGATCCGGATCTGGTGCTGGTGTTGGCTCTGATCATGGACTCGGTCATGGTCGTGCCAAATTCCCTGAACATGTCGGGAGATCCGATGGCATTCCACCAGGAGCGACCAGGGGCAGGACCAGGCGGGTACAGGGACTGGGGCCTCCACCGTCGAACCAAGCTCTTTCCAGAGAGATTCGAACTGAACTGGATAGTGGCCTTGACTAGGCGAATCGAGGTCGTTGAAAGTCATCTGGATGGCCGAGGCCTGGATGGACCTAGGGTCAACAATTGTGTGCTTGTCAGTCCACGAGGTGATGTCAACGGAATCATCTTGAAGAGAGTTCCAGCGCTGTATACAGAACGACTGTCACAAGCTTTGCCAGGTATTGCTGGGACGGAACCATCT